TGCTTAAGTTGACTGAAATCCTCTCTGGAAAAATGTGTAAAATTAAACTTGCTTTTACTTTCCAAGTGTCTGTTTAGTTAAAAATACTTTTGATAAAAAGCTGAGATGTTTATGAAAGTAAATTAAAACCATCTGCTGAAGTAATATGTCAAATCACGAAAGTGTATCAGACTGAACTACAGAAAAAATATCCTATTCTACATGTCTATGTGTTCTACTACATCATAATGGTAAGACAGTCAAGTTTCAGAGTTGAAACTCAACATATGTGATTCACCAGGCATGAGCCATAATATAATAAAATTTCTTAAAGCAGGCCTAATTACACACTCCTCTGTAGCATCTTTTCTCAAAAGCATAGGAGCACACATACTTTCATTAAGTGTGAAAAATATGTTACCTTGCATATTTGGTGCCGCTGAAGAATCTGATGCTGTAGCTTGGTATGGCAAGTCTGTATTCAACTGCAGAAGATAGCCCTCAACTGTAGGCACTTCATCCCATTTGACATGAAAAGAGTTGGTAGTGGCTTTGATCAGCTGTACTTGTGATGGTGCTGGTGGTTTTTCTAAAGAACAATATTGATATTATACATTTAAATTTCAATTGTATCAATAGTTTGCCTACATAGTTTGTGTAAACTGGAGTTTTGAAAACTTTAGCAGTGAATATTTCATCTGTTTACCAAGAGAAAATTTACTCAGATAAACACAGCTACAGTAGGTCAAATAAAAAGTTTAGGGTTCTGATTCCATTTATTTATTTAATTCCTTATACAAATAAATCTACAAACAAAATAATCCAGTACCAAAATACTTGAGTCATCAGATTCAGAAAAGTGTTTAATTCTAAAAGGAGTTGGGGGACGGGGAGCCACGTATTATATGATTATAGCTACATTTAACCTTATTTAGAAATTCTAATATTTTTATGAGCCAATTCTCAGCTAATAGCATACATGCTAGAAATGCTGTTAATGTGAGCAAAGATGACTTGAACATGATATTTCTCTGCAGTTAATACCCTCTTATCAAGACTTAAACTACACAAAACACGTAATTACCTTGAAATACACCAACATTTCCAATATCACCAACATTTCCAAAACAAGTAACAATTATCGACTCTTACAGCTGGAAAAAAGGATCTGAAATTATTTCTACAATATCCTTGTCTTCTTTTTCTTTGTATACCTACCATATCAGGGAATTCACAACTCAGAGGCAGTACATTTCTCTTTGAGCAGTGACGTAAGAAAATGTATTCTTCTAGTGAACTGAAATCTATAAGCCTATAAATTCATCCTTATAGAACAAACCTAATATCTATCTTTTTTTTTTTTTTTT